GATAAGTCAACATTGTGAAATAGATAGTTTCTTAAAAAAAGATTACGTGCTAATGCATTCATGTGATGAGAATCTAAAATATATAGTTGGATATTTTACAAAACACGAGCAGAAAATTAAATATCATAAATAACCGACATTAAATTAACACACGTTTATATAGTACATTTGCATTGTTTCGTTTGTATTATTTAAACTTGTGTTAATTTAATGTCGGTTATCTATTTAATCTGAAGAAATGACTTACATTAAGTCACGAAACGTCAGAAATACAATTTTTCTATTCATTGGGATATAATAATTAATATATTTATCAATAACGTTCTACCCAACGCTCAATTTATTTGTAACTATCAGTTCGAACCTTGGTATGAATACCTATATTAGAGATCAGATTTTGGATAGTTGTCAATTTAGATAAATGTTTTCTAAGAAACTAGTTCAGAAAAAAAGAAACAATCTCACCTATAAATACATATTGTGGGATATTCTTTAAGTTTCAAAAGTTATTTTATTTAGTATCCAGTGATTTGCATTGATAAATTTACCATGTAAATTATGTCAAGAATACAATTCACATTGTAACTAGTACTTATTGTTTATTCTAACAACAGCATTCCTGAGAATACAAATGTTTATATTGTATTGATTTATGACTAAGAAATGAGGGTTTTATGCATATACAAAACTGGTATTTAGTTATCTTTTTTATTTTTAGAAAGGGGTTTTGTGGAGATTGTAGTAATTTAATAGTTGAATAGTTGAGTTAATTAAACCTAGACCACCATGGAAAACCTGGAAGCACTGGACGACCATTTAGTTCTAGTATCAGGGTTATTGTTAACTAAATGGTAGAATATGATTTTTTAAAAATAGCATGATACAAATGAGATAACGTCATTGATTATGCCCACTTATTTAGTAATGTATATATGTTATGTGATTTTAAATGGTTAAATTGTCTTCGATGTTACCTTCTTCCGTCTGAGCACCCAGGCAGTATCACAGCCCATACATAAATCAAGTGACTTATATGGCGCATATATATTCGGTGCCTTTTTGTACCAACATTTATGTGTTCAAATAAATGTCAGATAACTGACATATAATTAATCTTACTTATTTAATGAAGTCATTACATGGATTATAATACACAAACTATTACTTCAAAATAATATATTCCAGACTGTGAGAACTGACTTATCAGGCGCCAAAGGGAAGTGAAAAAAACCTATTCCAAATTGTTTTCAAATTATAAAGGATTGAATTAAGGTATTTATTAATAAAAGAAACTTTTATGAATGGTAGTAAAATTTAGTTTGTAGTGAGGAGGGTTGTAGCATATTTAAAAAGTGTTAAAGGTCATTAATTATTTGATTGTTTGACTGACTGATGAAATGCCTGAGAAAATCTGCCATGGTAACTTCATCAGTAATATACTACAGTTATATCTATATACATAACTGAGTGTATTGGACCAGATTGCCAGGCAAAATGTTGGATTTCAAATTCTTTCGCTGAGATTTTACAAATACATTCTTCCTCTTTAATTAACCAATCACTATCAGTTTAGAATGATTAATTAGTTATAAGTAGGCAAAATATCTTCACTTGTAGTCTTACCGAATGAACTTTACATGTTTCAGATTACTTTTACATGATAGTGTTTCAATTAAGTTGTTTGTCATTACAAAGCAAAAATGGGTTCACACGTAAATCATACATAATATTAGGTTTTTATGAAAGGTAAATTTAAGGACATATATTCATTATTACATGTAGTTGCTAAGTGATTCGTTTTTCACTGTTATAGTACAAAAATAATGATATCGTTTTAAGTCTTTGATATCATTTATCTTTCATTGTCCACTTAATATCATTTAAAACCATAAGACATTTTATAATGGATAAAACACGACTTATGGATTATTTATATGGAAGTATCAACGTATAGCATTAATATAACATTATTTCGTACAAATATGAATAAAGAAAGCATAAGGATAACGAACATTATTCAGTTTTTGTTGCTAACAACAATACAGCTTTGTATATTCACTGTTGATCAATTCATGAAGATGTTCCACATTTTCATTTTAAAATAAGAGATTTATTGTCATTAGGGTTCTTGTTAAGTTGATCAATATTTTATAAAGTGAACTTGTCGCAAACATCCGAATAACACTTACACAAAATATAGATTACTTTACCTACTCAATCTATTTACGAATCTAATTAGAATTGTTAATATTTTCAATTACATTTAGTAATACAATTTCATAGAAAAAGGACAGTATCTGTCTAATTGGAGGTGTATAAATTTACTAAAACAGTGGTATAATTTAATGGTTGATTTCATGAGTCAATTAAAGCTAGACCACCATGAAAAGCCGGAAGAACTGGACGGCCATTTCTTCTTAGTATGGGGCTTCTCAGCAGTGCGCATCCACAGTCTCTCATGTGAGACACAAAATCAGGACCTTCGGTCTCGCACGCGACCGCTTAACATTTAGAGCACTGAAGCTGGCATCCATCGGTGTTATATCTAACTTCAACCAATCCACAATGGTATAATTAAAATAAGTACCTATGTAAATTGTAATTCTACTGAGATTTTACCCTATCACTACTTTCTGGCTTACATAAATTCTGTAAAAATACAGTAATACTAATTCAGATCAGTCATTTATCTATTGATATTAAGAAAGCAAACATTGTTTCATAAGCATCCTAATGACCTGTGATATTCTATTCGATCTGGCATTTGTCTGAAACTCTGGCATATTATAAATGTAGTTCAAAATAAACAAATTAACTTAGCAGTAGTATTTGGTGATTAAAATAAAGAAACCTGACACTACCATAAATTAATCATGCATAATGCTTTAGCTTATTAGAAAAGTTCCTACCATTACCTATTCATATCATTTATCACTATGAAAGATTTAATCAATTGATTTCGTCAGCTAATTTTATTTAATCATTGTACAGAAAGTACTTAATGAACAACTATATATTTAGTAGTTGAATTGATCAGTCAATTAAAGTTATACCACCGCTGAAAGCTTGGAAGCACTGGACGACCGTTTCGTCCTAGTATGGAACTTCTAAGCTGTGTGCACCCACGATCCCGTCTCTCAAGATTTGAACCCAGAACCTATCGATCTCGTGCGTGAACGCTTGACCTTCAGACCACTGAGCCGGCCTGCAACCAACAGTGTTAATGTCTAACTTCAACCAATCCACGAAATTGCGCCAATGTCTACCATTGTCTTCTGTGAGCTGCTATCTCACAACAAACCTAGTTGAACTCCACTGATCACTGCTTCTCACTAGAACTCCAGGAAATACCTCTTGAAGCCAGTCACTAGTGACAAAAACCCTATTTCTGATAATTATATATTTGAAATGTATACCATATTCTGTTTTGTGAATTATCGTAAATCTACATACAATTCATATAGAGTATATATTGAATCATAATCTTAAATGAGACTTTAAAAATAGATCACACTTCTGAACTAGCCCAAAAATACCACAACATGTTAGATGTTGTACTTAGAATACTAAGGGTTTTAAATACTCGTAATGAAAAATTTCAGAATTAAAATTAGCATATAAATTTTGACAAAACTTCTTTTTAGAATTCCTAACACATTGTATTATTATAATTCATTGCATACTGATTACATAACTAATATGGAGTAGGATTAATGTATATCACAAGTTTCTTAATTTAGTTTTATCATTTTAACCGAATTGTACATTTTATTACTCTTCACATACGGATATTCTATCATGCTAGTTAACATGGCTAATCATATAAATGATTGAGTAACATATGACATATAAAATAAACATAAGTTTAATTCAAATATATATATTTGTAATTGAAGGTAATAAGACATACAGCTGTTATTGTAAGCTTTGTAGCTTTATGTTTCCTGGATATAACTCTAAGCTAACTTTATTTATTACACTATAATAATAAACAATTATCTTAATATAAAATTAAATTTTATTATTAGGAATTCTAATAAACTGTTTTCTAATTAGTATAAGAAGGGGTTTTTGTGGATATTATGATAATTTCATTAATTGAGATCATAAGTCATTTGAAGCTAGACAACCATGGAAAACCTGGAAGCGCTGGATGGCCGTTTCGTCTTGGTGTGAGACTCCTCAGTAATGCGCATCCACGATTCAGCCCTGCAAGGTTGGAACTCAGGACCTATCGGTATCGCATGTGAACGCCTAACCACTAGACATCTGAGCCGGTATCGAACGGTGTTAGTGTTTAACTTTGATCAATCCACGAAATTAAGCGACACACCCAACATTATCATCAGTGACTTACTAACTCACAACAGACTCGGTTGAACTCCATAAGAATCGCACAATAGGACGAAACGGCCTTCCAGCGCTTCCAAATATTCCATGGTGGTCTAGCTTCAAATGACTCATGTTTTCTAATTATTTTGATAACTCTCTCTCTCTCTCAACAAAAACTAACCAGTCAATATATATTATATAATTTATCAAGAGAATGCTATTTTATCATACTTGCTTAGTTTTCAAATTAGTTTACATTAATATAGATGATTAAATTGTGTGTTTTACACTTGTTTACTTAAAAACTGGCTCCTCATTTGAAAAGAAGCAACTGGATCAAATTCACTTGGTATTGTTTACTTGAATCTTCCCATTGATGTACCGTTCACTTCAAACGCCATCGCATTATCCACTTAGCTACTGGGTCATGATAGTCACTTGCTTGTGCAATGGAGTTAATTTTAAATCCACTTGGTACTGTTTACTTGAATCTTCCTATTGATACTTAAGACTGCAATTGATCAGCGTCTTATTTGCATATGTGAATATATGCATGCTTGATTAAACTTAGTAGAAAATGTATAGTATATTAAGAATGATAAAACATATTTCAATGTGCTATTAATCTTATTAACTAGAAATATGACAAGATGGAAATTTTAACTTACACGAACACATGATATATTACAGAAGGCCATGTTTTTGGTCTTTCAAGAAAATTATAAATTTTAGCTTGCAATTTTCGATATCTAGTCTCATTACGACTTATACGTATTGTTATTGTTTTGCCATGAAGTGATGTTCTTCTTTGTGTACATTCCTGAGGTGGGGGAGCAAGAAAGTGTTTAAATCCTGTTGATGTATTATGTGGCAATTTTTTGTAATCACAATTATTATTATTATATACATCAATATAGTTTGATTGACTGCATACTTCCAGATCCGTGTCACAATGATATGGATAATGCCCTGTATTTATATTGCTAGACTCCCATGGTTTATTATATGAGTCATTCGTTACGCTCTCATCGACTGTACTACTACATCCACCAGGATCAATATTGTAAACTGGATGATTTTTCATTTCTACATCAATTGGTTCATTAACTCTTACTTCAAAGATATTCTTTTTATATTTTCGATCTTTATGACTATAATGATTACATGTGTCCAGAAAAACTGGTGAACTGAATCTTGTGCTCATAATGTTTTTTGATTCTTAATTCATTTAATCATTAATAAAGTCATTAGATTTTATATGAGGTAATCCAAATATTTACTGAGGTAATCCATAATTTTATGAAAGGGAACATAAAGTGAATAAAAGAGAAATGATCCAGTTAAATTAGTTTTTTTTCTTTTAAAGTTTTTTTTATTATTTTGTCATCAGAATAACAAGTTTTATCTAATAGAAAACATTTTTATTATAGTTCTATCAAAATTATGTAAATAAAAGTATTATGAAAATAATATAAAGGGAGAATATAAAAATATGATTTATGAATAAATGATTGGTTATTTGAACTGACCAATGAAAATATAGTTTTAATAATGTTTTGATTGGTTAAAATCAAATAGTTTCATTTATCATTCCCATTCATAAATTTAATGATTCTAATGATAACTAATTCTTAATATGAATGTTCAATGAATGATCAAATTTCAAATATAAAAACACTAAATCAAAAGTTAAAAATGTTTTCTTAAAATTTATGAATTTTTGTATCGGTTAGTTATTCACATTGTTAATCGTTATTATATAAATTCCAATAGTGTTTGAATTCAGAAGTTATTAAGAATCGGTAACTACAGTTTGTTAGCGAATAACACTGATAACAAAGTTACAAGCATATCGAGAGAATTTGGAGCAGAGAATCTTATATGTTAACGAGCAAATACAGAGGCAAATTTATAGACAAATCGATTAATGTCGCAGCTAGGTACGGCAAAGCGAAAGCTATTAATAGGATTCGAGCACATATATACATTGGTAAAGAGAGTGACTCGTTGAGCAATATTTAAGCCATCACATTTCAGTTAGACAAAGAGATGTGCATAGGCTATTATGTGATCAAGCGTGCATGTTTATACAGATATGATAGTGATCATAATAGTACAAAGAAATATACGAATTGTTACTGTTCGTATAATAATACTTACTTACTTACTTACGCCTGTTACTTCCAATGAAGCATAGGCCCCCGACCAACATTCTCCAACCCACTCTGTTCTGGGCCTTCTTTTCTAGTTCCATCCAATTCTTGTTCATTTTTCTCATGTCTATCTCCATTTCTCGGCGTAATGTGTTCTTTGGTCTTCTTCTTCTCCTTCTTTGACCTTGAGGATTCCATGTGAGGGCTTGTCTTGTGACACAGTTGGGTGCTTTCCTCAATGTGTGTCCTATCCACTTCCAGCGCTTCTTCCTGATTTCTTCCTCCACTGGGATCTGGTTTGTTCTCTCCCACAGTACGTTGTTGCTAATAGTGTCCGGCCAACGGATCTGAAGTATTTTGCGTAGACAACTGTTAATAAACACCTGTATTTTCTGGATGATGGCTTTCGTAGTTCTCCAGGTTTCTGCCCCATACAGTAGAACTGTCTTGACATTTGTATTGAAAATCCTGACCTTGGTGTTGGTTGACAGTTGCTTTGAGTTCCAGATGTTCTTCAGTTGTAAATATGCTGCTCTTGCTTTTCCGATCCGCGCTTTCACATCTGCATCAGATCCACCCTGTTTGTCAATGATGCTGCCCAAATACGTAAAGGTTTTTACATCTTCCAAATCTTCTCCGTCAAGTGTGATTGGATTGGTGCATGCAGTGTTGTATCGGAGAATCTTGCTTTTCCCTTTGTGTATATTGAGAGCTACTGCTGCTCCACGGGTCTTCTTCTCCTGCATTTATTGTTGCGTGTGCGATAGAAGGGCCAGATCATCTGCGAAGTCTAGATCGTCCAACTGCATCCTAGATGTTCATTGTATCCCGTGCTTCCCTTCAGATGTTGACGTCTTCATGATCCAGTCGACCGCCAGGAGAAAGAGAAATGGTGAGAGTAAGCAACCTTGCCTAACACCGGTCTTCACTTCGAACTACTTTGTCAACTGTCCTCCATGCACGATTTCGCAGTGTAATCCACCATATGAGTTCTGTATGATATTGACTCTTCTGAGGCACGCCGTAGTGTCTAAGAAGTTTCATAGTGTTGTTCTGTCCACGCTATCAAATGCCTTTTCGTAGAGTGATGAATTCCATTCAATTGATTGTTCCACAATGATCCGTAGAGTTGCGATTCGGTCTGTACACGATCTATCCTTACGGAATCCTGCCTGTTGTTCACGAAGTTGGGCGTCTACGCAGTCCTTCATCCTGTTTAACAATACCCTGTTGAAGACTTTTCCCGGTATTGAGAGAAGAGTGATACCCCTGTAGTTATCACACTTGCTGAGATCGCCTTTCTTCGAGATTTTGATCGGAAGTCCTTCTTTCCAGTCTTTTGGTACTTGTTCCTCATCCCAAATCTTATTGAAGAGAATGTGGAGTATCCTTGCAGTTGCCGCTACGTATAACAATATCTGTTAAATAAGTTAATAAAAAAGCTTGACAAAATTTAACCATAATCAAAATTCATTGTAGGAGGGTTTCTATAGTGTATATTGAGCACTGTTTCCTTTGTATTATTTAAACTTATTAGTTTTATATCGATTATTTATTTATTCTGAAGAAGCGACTTACATTAAGTTACAAAATGTCAGAAATACAATTTTCTACTAATTCTTTTTGTTTATAATATTGTTTAGGAATGAAAGTGAACAGACACCAAACATTATTGAAAGATAATTCCGTGTTTGATAGTAGTGCTGAATAACGAAAAAATAAAAAATGTAAACTAACAATTATCAGAACATATTAAGACAATTAAAAAAAGAAATTCATTCAAAATGTAATGATAAAAACAATAATAATAATAAACAACAATGGAAAAATACAAGTAAAACAACACCAAGTGAGTTTAAACTTCACCCCATTGCAAAAGCAAGTGACTATCAGGACTCAGCAGCTAAGTGGATAACGCGATGGCTTTTAAAGCTAACGTTACTGGGTCGGAGTCCCAGAGTGAACATCAGCTCTAAGATGCAGGCACATTCAGCTGACAAGTCCCGAATAAGACGAAATGCGCGTTCTGAGTTCCACTGCTAGCCACTATCCATCTTTGTTTAAAAATTATGGATTTAGTTTCTTGTATTTGTGTATGAACCAGAATCTGTGTTTTCGCAAAAAAGTATTTTGATGAAACAATATGAATTAAATGTGAACCATTAACAAGACTGTCAAATTTTTTCAAAAACTAGGAGTGTTTCAAATATTTTAAGGAGAGATAAATATCGGTTAGCAGTAAAATTCAAGACGCGCGTTTCGTTCTATTTGGGACTCATCAGACGAATTCCACTACTAACCACTATCCATATTTGTTTATAATAATTGTAATTTAAGGTAATATCTAGGTAATCCGCAAAGGAAGCATATATACTGATAAGAGACTGATCAATTGCGGTCCTAAACATTACTGAAATAATCCAAACAACCATATATATTTTTGTCTCATGAGTAATATAAAACATGAGCATACTGAAATAAATTTTTTTAGAAAGGCTATGATACTAAGTCATAAGTTTGGTGGAGTTTCGTTATTAGAGCTAGGTATAATATAATTTTTTAAAATGCCTTACCTCTGGAAACTTAAGAGGAGATCTTATGAAACGTGTGATATCTAAAATCGAATATCAGTATATCATGAGAAATAATTCCCATTTCTTTGTTTTTCACCATTATTTTTTGTTTTTCTAGACAAGATTACCAGCATTTGGTTACAAAGTTCCTCTATTGTCGTATCATATGACTGATTGTTGTCAGTAATCGTGTTATCACTAATTAAGAATTTCATAAACATAGTTCCCTTTATTATCTTAAATAGAGCAAGAAAAAGATTGGTGCAGAATAATATGAATTCATTTTATTTCGTTAGATTCTCATAAGCTGCTTACAACCTAAAATATTTGAAAGTCAACGTTTTTACAGATATTGACATACTTATACATACGAGGGCGATTAAAGATGGATATATGTGTGTCATGATGTAGTGAAGATTCCGATAGAGTTAATGAGGTCATAAAATTTTGTTTCAAATAAAGTTTGGGAGGGAAAGTTCCACAACATTGAAATAGTGATTAGAACTCATGAGTTCTAAGCATAAATCGATGAGTCCTAGTACACTTTGGCTATGGAGCTCTGTGTATTTTGGGAAATTTGTATAGTTAGTGAGGAGAGGAGTTAGACTTTCCTTTGCTAGCTTTAGTTCGACCCATGTGAATAACGCCGTTACATCAATGTTACTGCCTTATTGTAGAAACACATTCGACTGGAAAATATTAAAAAACTGTATAGAGGGAATACTAAGGACATCAAGCAATTTTTAGAAGCTTAGCACTCATGTCAAACAGAAATCAGCAAACACACCGAAATCGATCGAATTCATTTATCAGTCAGAAAAACTATGGATAAACATTGAACTGAAAATCAGATCAAATGGTGATATAGTCAAATAAGAATACCGACATTGACAGGTTATAGGTCAACAATAATCAGTAAGATCGAAGTCGATAAGACAAGCTGTCAGTCGTATGTTGGAAAAATTAAAATACTTCACTTCCACCTGAATTTTGGGTTGATGCTGCCGTTCAGAAGAACGGTGAAAGATCCTCGACATAGAGTTTAGCTTCCTGTATGAGTCAGCATTCTCATTAAAACCTAAGTCTTTTGTAGCTGCAGTGTTCTTATTTTTATAAATACTTGTCAATATTAGGACGAATAGTTTGACAGGAATTGGGCGTCGACTATTGACAAAACATTATATATTAACGTTATATTTGAACTTATCTTAGCCCTACTACTTCAGTGTCCGATAAAAGAGTTTTTGGCATTTAAAAAATAATTAAATTCACAAAATCTCCATACTATATTGTATTGGAAAGTTTCAAATTTATGGTTACGAATAGAAACTAACATTTCCAACTGATTGTTTCTTTGGAACTAATGTCAAATTAGACAGAACATGTAGTCAGTTATTGACGCTTAGAAACAACGTTTCTACAAAATAAACAAATTATAAAGAAGTTTAAAACTAGTAACTACACCTAGTGGTCTATAT